CTATGCTGGTGGAGGGAGCAAGGGTCACCGTTTACTATACACCGTTGTTACCCCTATGCTGGTGGAGGGAGCAAGGGTCACCGTTTACTATACACCGTTGTTACCCCTATGCTGGTGGAGGGAGCAAGAGTCACCGTTTACTATACACCGTTGTTATCTCTATGCTGGTGGAGGGAGCAAGAGTCACCGTTTACTATACACCGTTGTTACCCCTATGCTGGTGGAGGGAGCAAGGGTCACCGTTTACTATACACCGTTGTTATCTCTATGCTGGTGGAAGGAGCAAGAGTCACCGTTTACTATACACCGTTGTTACCCCTATGCTGGTGGAGGGAGCAATAGTCACCGTTTACTATACACCGTTGTTACCCCTATGCTGGTGGAGGGAGCAAGAGTCACCGTTTACTATACACCGTTGTTACCCCTATGCTGGTGCAGGGAGCAAGAGTCACCGTTTACTATACACACTTGTTACCCCTATGCGCATAACAATGCCTACATACAGATATTTGAGGTTTTAGTGGTAGTTTAATCGGGTGCAAAGTCATCTGAACTGAAGACGAATGACAACACTTTTCAACGCGCGGTTCCCCTGTCCTACCAATGCTCAAAGCGTTTTAACATTCTCATCTTCCTTAAGCAACACAGCTCGACCAGTGAAGATAAAGGTACTGCAATCTTCACAGAAAGGTCGCACTGAAACATATGTGGAGTGAAAATAATACACAGGCAAAGACAGTTTCAGGACAGGACCGAGGCCCGACACTATCTAGTAATCCGGTGCCTTAACAACTGTGTCCAATATCTCCCAGTGTCGAGTCTACTGGTACCTTAGCAGCTGTGTCCAATATCTCCCACTGTCAGGTCAAACGGTGCCTTAACAAATGTGCCCCATATCTCCCACTGTCGAGTCTACTGGAGCCTTAACAACTGTGTCCCATACCTCCCACTGTCGAGTCTACTCGAGCCTTAACAACTGTGTCTCATACCTCCCACTGTCGAGTCTACTGGAGCCTTAACAACTATGTCCCATTCCTCCCACTGTCGAGTCTCCTGGAGCCTTAACAACTATGTCCCATACCTCCCACTGTCGAGTCTACTGGAGCCTTAATAACTATGTCTCATACCTCCCACTGTCGAGTCTACTGGAGCCTTAACAACTGTGTCCCATACCTCCCAATGTCTAGACTACTGGAGCCTTAACAACTCTGCCCCATACCTCCCACTGTCGAGACTACTCGAGCCTTAACAACTCTGCCCCATACCTCCCACTGTCGAGACTACTGGAGCCTTAACAACTGTATCTCATACCTCCCACTGTCGAGTCTACTGGAGCCTTAACAACTGTGTCCAATATCTCCCACTGTCAGGTTTACTGGAGCCTTAACAACTGTGTCCCATACATCCCAATGTCGAGTCTCTTGGAGCCTTAACAACTGTGTCCCATACCTCCCACTGTCGAGTCTACTGGAGCCTTAACAACTGTGTCCAATATCTCCCATTGTCGAGTCTACTGGAGCCTTAACAACTGTGTCCAATATCTCCCACTGTCAGGTTTACTGGAGCCTTAACAACTGTGTCCCATACCTCCCACTGTCGAGTCTACTGGAGCCTTAACAACTGTGTCCAATATCTCCCATTGTCGAGTCTACTGGAGCCTTAACAACTGTGTCCAATATCTCCCACTGTCGAGTCTACTGGAGCCTTAACAACTGTGTCCAATATCTCCCACTGTCAGGTTTACTGGAGCCTTAACAACTGTGTCCCATACCTCCCACTGTCGAGTCTACTGGAGCCTTAACAACTGTGTCCCATACCTCCCACTGTCGAGTCTACTGGTGCCTTAACAACTGTGTCCCATACCTCCCACTGTCGAGTCTACTGGTGCCTTAACAACTGTGTCCCATACCTCCCACTGTCGAGTCTACTGGAGCCTTAACAACTGTGTCCCATACCTCCCACTGTCGAGTCTACTGGAGCCTTAACAACTGTGTCCCATATCTCCCACTGTCGAGTCTACTGGAGCCTTAACAACTGTGTCCCATACCTCCCACTGTCGAGTCTACTGGAGCCTTAACAACTGTGTCCCATACCTCCCACTGTCGAGTCTACTGGAGCCTTAACAACTGTGTCCCATACCTCCCACTGTCGAGTCTACTGGAGCCTTCACAACTGTGTCCCACTGTGACATCTCCCACTGTCAGGTTTACTGGAGCCTTAACAACTGTGTCCAATATCTCCCACTGTCGAGTCTACTGGAGCCTTAACAACTGTGTCCCATACCTCCCACTGTCGAGTCTACTGGAGCCTTAACAACTGTGTCCCATACCTCCCACTGTCGAGTCTACTGGTATAGAATATAGGATGTCAAGATACCGAACATAAAGTATCATCCCTTTCATATGCACATTCTACCCAGTTTAGGGTACCAGTAGACCTGATAATGGGACATACGGGATATATGTGGGTACAATGTGTGAAGTCATTTCTTGTGTGATGTTGCTGGAATATTGCTAAAAGTCGCGTAAAACAAAATTCACTCACTCATGCATTAAATACACCCGTGCATTAATTAAGTACCACCCTATTTTGAAAATAAGATGTGATGCTACAGAAAAGTTAGGGTATAGCCATCAATTTGATCAACCTATAGTTAAAGAAGCTATACCCATTAACAGTTTTACAAATACCACAACCTTTCCTATTCTTCATGAAAGAATGTGTTGATGAAAATTTGATGGGACTGAATTTTTACCCAAAATAACTATTCCTCTCCTGCTGAAACTACACAATTAAATTTAGTTTGCCCAAAAATAATAATTCTGTTATATGACATTTACACATCAAGTAAGCTTTAATTATGCATAATCAGGAAGAACCCGAAAATCGAAGATTCAGACCTTTTCCCAAAAATCCAGATTGCTAATTGACAAAAACTGAAAAAGAGCACAGTAATAAGATTTTGGAATAAATATTTTATGATTTTGAGTTTATTGTATTGAATAAACACTTCTCCTTGCCGGACACTGATAATTACAGCTAAAATTCAATTTGTTTTGGTTGTAAAGCAACTTGTACTAAATTTTAAAATTGTCCCTTTTTTTAGTTTGACTGTAATTACTGCCCAAAGAATCAAATTTTCCTAAATCTTAGTTTACAAACTTTCATCTATTCACAATAAATAACGAATTTATAGGCCACATAACAATCAATTATTAATTTCACTTTTCAAAATAAGGTAACTTGTTTTAGGACAGGACAACACCTGTTTTTGATATAGGCAATTGTCCTAATGACAGTACAAGGTAATTTCAATGATGTTTTCGTTTTTAAAATTTTAAATGCTTGCTCTATCAAATTATAAAGGTTATATTTCGGAAAGCGTTTAGATTTTCATTTCAGACAAAATTAATTGGCAAAAATACAGGGTGGTGCTTAATTTATGCACGGTTGTATATATAGGTTACTGTGTCATAAAAAACCCACATCGTGCCATAATTGGGTCTCTGCTGTGATTGTGTGTCAAAAAGTGAGTAAGGTAGGTAGGTCTAAGTCTACTTTGAACAAGAATCAAGGATGATTAACATATTGATCAACCTTACAGTACACTGCCACCCCAAATAGCAAGGAATGTGTGTGAGTCGTTTGGTGGGCAAAACAAGAATATTATACGTATGTTTCACTCAGTTTTCTCATCCATATATTTTATTGAAAAACCATATACACAGTTTACACATTTTAGGCCCTAACAATATTCAAATATATACTGAGGAAAAAAAATAAGGGATCATATGAAAGCACAAGTGTTCCTTTATTTGCTTGTATATTTCCAAAGCATGAGTTGAGTTGAGTTTTACACCGCCCTCAGCAATATTTCCAAAGCATGAGGGGCGGTGGGGTAGCCTAGTGGTTAAAGCCTTGGCTCGTCACGCCATAGACCCGGGTTCGAATCCCCACATGGGTACAATGTGTGAAGCCCATTTCTGGTGTCCCCCGCGGTGATGTTGCTGGAATATTGCTAAAAGCGGCGTAAAACCAAACTCAGTCAGTCAGTCCAAAGCATGAGTTGAGTTGAGGTTTACACCGCACTCAGCAATATTTCCAAAGCATGGTCCAAGACAACACCTTTAGGTGATGATAAGCAAAGATGTCCACATCTATTTGCCCTATAATCCCAATGTTGTTAGAACTGTATAATGTAACACACACAACATTAACAGTAAACGGATGTGAGGTTAAATTTGACTGTACCCACAAAATCATGAGGGTGGGGTGGGATTGGCTAAGGATATGTGAGGAGATGTGTGTCTGGACACTTAAAGGGGTAGCACACAGATACCATACTTCAGCTTCACATGGTTGGTTGGTTGGTTGGTTGTTTAATGCCGCACTCAGCAATACTGCAGCTAAGTGGCGGCGGTCTTGACCAGACAATCCAGTGATCAACAGCATGATCATCGATTTACACTATTGATAGGATGACATGTGTCAACCAAGTCAGCAAGCCTGACCACCGATTAGTTGCCTCTTTCGACAAACATGGGTTGCTAAAGACCAACCCAGGTAGTTTCACATGGATGCCCCATACACTGACTGAGTTTGCTTTTACGCTTTTAGCAATATTCCAGCAGCATCACGGCGGTGGACACCAGAAATGGGCTTCACACATTGTACCCATGTGAGGATTTGAACCCGGGTTTTCGGCGTGACGAGCCAACGCTTTAACCACTAGGCTACCCCACCACCCCTAGGATGACCCATACAGACACCATATACCCTGTGAGATGACCAATTCTTCTTTTCCCACTTTGGTGGCGCCTCTATCAGAGTAACAAGTGAAATCTGTAAACGTCATCTAGTATGACGCAAGATGATTTCATCCACTGACCTTTTGTCCTCCAAGACAGGTGCATTATCCACTGGACAATACCAGCTGTTTCCAGAAACATTATAAATTGGCGTGTAAATTTTTTCAGACTACAGAAAATAGAAGCCTATAATATGTTGTTACATTTATTCACTAACATACAATGAAGTGATGAATGGTTGATGAATGGTTGATGAATGGTTGATAAAGGGTTAATGAACATACATACAACAGTGCTCACCTCCACTCGCATCACACTTAATGAGACTCATTAATTCTCCAATCGGCTGAACCATTACAAGGATTTTCGTCATACAGTTTAAAACATTTTGCCTGAGGTCAACAATAAAATGGTGAAGTCAAATAAACAGATCATCTATAACCCACGAGCACCATTAATAGTTTCAGGGAGGGTCCCTGATATATTACTTTAATCCAGAACTACAACTATGAAATCTCTTTTGAATTTGCCTCGTGCTCCTCTTACTACTTTTCAACTGTGTGACTGAATCGTTCACATCCCCAGAACTAGAACTTGTCCTGGACTCTGTGGAGGTGGTCCTGGTGCTCCTCCTTGCTCCACCCTTGACCTTGACCTTTGTCCCATTCCCAGCACTGGTCAAGCCATCCCCAACGCCTTTGTCTATTTCACCTGATTTCCTGTGCCTGCTTGGCTTCACACTGGAGGACTGGGCATCTGTTTCTTGTGATGAGGATGATTTGGTTGTTTTCTTAGTCTTTACATTCTTTGGTTTCACATTTTCAGCTGATTTGGACTTTGTATTTTTTTCTGTTTTAGCTTTCTTTGATTTTGGTTTTGTTTCCTTTTCTACTGTGTCTTGAAGCTTTTTTCTTGTCATTCTGCCCTCTGTTTTTGTTTTCTTTGCTGGAGACTGGAGGATCTCTGGCATTTCTTCTCCTGCTTCCTATAAGCAGTGAAAACATCAAGAGATTGTAACAAGGTCAAAGACAACATCTGACAATAGGGACATTCCAGTACAGGAACATTCAAGGTCTGTGATAGCTTAAACATAGCAAACGTTTCTTTCAGGATAGACGTAGAGTGATAGAGAGTTGTCTCCCTTGAAATGCTTTAATCATTGACCCAGTTAAATTATAAATATTATAAATTTCAACAAAAATTCCCATACATGCTTTCCACTGATTTGGGGGTGACTAATCTGTAGGGCTGGGAAAATGATCGATAATGGGAAGTATACTTGATAGGAATAATATATTAATGATTATCGATATGAAAAATGAGTTATTGATAAATTTTTACATTAACTTTTGTGGCAGAAACAAGATTTAATTTTCTCACACATCATACAAATGTAGGACTCAATTCTTGGTCTGCTTCTTGAATATGTTTTGTTAGTAGTCCATGTAAAACCACTGTCATCACTCACAAGTGATGTGAAAGATATATTTCTTTCAGACGATTTTGGTATTTTTGCTCAAAGTTACGTCTCGCTATTCACTGATAATTGATTGATATTTAGTTATCGATTATCAATCACTGTGATCTATATCGATAGCTATTTTCTCATAAATTTCTCTCTGTCTACAAATATTGCTGGAAACAGCACAGCATACTTGCCCAAGACACCTGGGTGTAGCTCAGTTTATGACAACTTACCAGCATCTGCTTTGACTTCCTTTTCACGATCTTGGAAGTTTTCTTTATCCTCTTTGTTTTTTGTTCTGAAACAAATTAGACAAGAAGACAAAGTCATCAATATCCCCCGCAATGGCAAAATACTCTTCATGATTATGTCTACGAGTTATGATTATGTCAAACATTTAGGTGTGTATATAGAAAAGTGGAAGGAGAGTATTGAAAGGTTTTTACAGTTCTGCTCCAGAAAAGAGCACTATCACCAATTTCAGTCTAAGTCAAACTTGTTGCCATGGAAAAGCCAAAAATATTTTATTCAGAAATCCAAAACTACCAAAAGGCACCAGTACACCACCAGATCTATGTATGTGCCAAGTTTGGTGAAGAAACATTGAACGGTTTTAGTGTTCTGCTCCGGGAAAGAGCACTACCACCAATTTCAGTTTGAGTCAAACTTGTTGCCATGGAAACGCAAAAAATATTTTATTCAGAAATCCAAAACTACCAAAAGGCACCAGTACAGTGTCAGAGCAATCTATGTGCCAAGTTTGGTGAAGAAATAGTGACCGGTTTTAGAGTTCAGCTCCGGAAAAGAGCACTACCACCAATTTCAGTCCAAGTCGAACTTGTTGCCACGGAAACGCCAAAAATATTTTGTTCAGAATTCCAAAACTACCAAAAGGCACCAGTACACCACCAGATCCATGTATGTGCTAAGTTTGGTGAAGAAATATTGAACGGTTTTAGAGTTCTGCTCCGGAAAAGACAAATGTGCACGGACGGACGGACGGACGCACGGACAGAGTCCATTTTAATACCCCCCGCAAAACGTGTTGCGGGGGATAATAACTGAAACATCTATTTTTCATATCCATGGATCCTGTTTTTCGTTATGAAGTGACTTCAAGAGATTTTGCTTTAATGGGAGTGAGCGAGTATGTTTTAAGCAGCTTTTAGCAATATTCCAGTAACATCACTGAGGGGACTCCAGATATGGCCTTCACACATTGCACCCTTGGGGTTGTTATGGGAACAAACAATAAAACCACAATTAGCCACTCAGGGGGCAAGAAAAGGCACTTGCAGTATATGTGTTAACAAGAAAAAGAGCAAAGTGGTGGGTGTGTTGTTGTTTGTTAGTGAGTTAAAGCCCATCTTAAGAGTCTCATTAAAGTAAACCCATCTGTTGACTACGAACAAGGGAAGGGAGGCAACTCAATACAGCAAATTAACATTTCTCGTGCGGCCTTACCTTTTGGCACCATCGGTCCAGGGTCTCCTGTGAACCAGATGGTTCTCTTGTTGTGGTCGGCCATGTTCTTCATACTGGGGTTGTAGTAGCACTGAAGCCAATCCATAAACTTGTTCATGGATTTCGTTCCATACAGACCATAGCTGGTGGCACCTGCAACATTCATAACCATATTCATGTTACCATGGAAACTAATATCAGAGGAAACTGTTTTGGTCAGCATGAAAGAGTGAATGTTTCAAAACAAAAGGAATCAGAACATTAGAAAATTCACATCATATTTGTATAGAACTTTTTGAGAATTACATATTTTAATTAAATCTGCTTATGTATGAGTGTATTAATTATCTGGGTTAGATACAGTCATCTGTTCCCATGTCATGAGACTAGTGACTGATTTCTCCACAAGACAGTTATCAGGATGGTAGTTGCTTATGTACCACAAATCCGAGATCAGATGTGGATGACTTGGACTACCTTCCACAGCAATGGGATTTAATGAGCAATCAAACCAGAGGTTGATGCTGTCAACACCGTATCTGTGAACAGTCACTCAGGATACAGAGTAGACCCTGCTTCAAGGTCATCCAACCAGGAATATGCATGCCTGGCAGCCATTTGGTCACCTAGGCAGCACCAGTATTGATTTACTATCTTTGAACAAGCTGAAGATTTTACCTATATTAATGACCTCCAGAGGTAAGATGTTGCACAATTGTAGGATGTCTGGACTCTCCGACTTGACCACCACTTTCTTCTCTTCCTGACCAGGGGACAGTTTCTCCAGCACTGACCGGGCACACTTAAATGGTGGCACTCCAGCTCTGTCATGTACAAACATGAACTCAAGTACATGTCTATCATTTTACATACATTTCTTCACATATATTGGCTGCCAACATCAGTTTACAATAACTATCTAACATACACCATGTTACATACAGTAGTTTCAAAAGTAGGTTACTATGACAATCATCAATTAAATCACTATCATGACATGAGAAATCTGCAATCCTTCGAAACACTTTAATGGTGAACTGGTGAACAACAAGTACTGGTTGAGCACTTACTAGATATACATACATACAGTTTTACCAGTATTTTTGCTCTTGGACCTAAGTGTTCAGGAATTCTGCTCAAGGACCTACCTGTAAAGTATTTCATTTTCTGCTTTAGGTCCTACCTGTACATGTACAGTATTTCTAACCAGGGTTCTACCTGTACAGGTATTTCTGCTCAAGGACCTACCTGTAAAGTATTTCATTTTCTGCTTTAGGTCCTACCTGTACATGTACAGTATTTCTAACCTGGGTTCTACCTGTACAGGTATTTCTGCTCAAGGACCTACCTGTAAAGTATTTCAACTCTAGGTTCTACCTGTACAGTATTTCTGCTCTCAGACCTACCTGTACAGTATTTCTGCTCGGAGATAGTTTCCAACCCCATTGAAGTATTTCTGGTTCAGCAAAACTTCACAGATTGGTTTGTTGAAAGCTGCCTGGTTAAGATTGTCCAACACGTTTTGTCTGAAATGGCACCATTTGAATAAATATGGATAGACTTAAGCAACTGCCTGTGGTGGGGGTAGTGAAAGGGGAGGCTTAAAATAATGTGTGTGTGAAAGCGAGTATAGGTATGGAGCAGACAAACCAAGGGACATGATCAGGAAAAATATGGATTTAGTGTTTTCTGGAACACCTAACTTAGGGACACAACTCTGCACTAAGTATTGTAACGCCCTTTAATGAGTGAATACTGCTTTATGCCACTTTTAGCAATATTCCAGCAATATCTTGGAGGGGGGCATGAGAAACGGTCTTTGACACATTGTGCCAATGTGGGGAACTGAACCGGGTCTTTGGCGTTATGAGCGAACGCTTTGACCACTAGGCTACCCCACCGCCACGCAGCACCCTTGACTGAGCCACCTGTGCCTCCAGTGTTACATAGATAGTGAGTGAGTTTTGGTTTTACGCCGCTTTTAGCAATATTCCTGCAACATCACGGCGGGGGACACCAGAAATGGGCTTCACACATTGTACCCATGTGGGGAATCGAACCCGGGTCTTCGGAGTGACGAGCCAACGCTTTAACCACAAGCTAGGCTACCCCACCGCCCACTACATAGATAGTTGTCATGGGGCAGATTATCTTAACTTCACTGTGAGAAAAAGGTTTTAAATGTTTTAAAAAGACAAACAAATAACTGAAAGTTTTTTTTAAATAATTCCAACGCTTTTCTTGGCAGTGACAAAAATTCAGTGTGTGATAATTTTAGACCATTTGATATTTACGTAAATAGCAAAATATATATCAACTGGAAGCAAAAGGATTGTATAAATCATGATACATATGTTATTTTTAAATAAGATAACTTTTTACGGTCTAAATGTCAGTCTGTAACCATGGAGACAATATTGGCTACAACCAAGACAAACCTATTAAACCTGTATATAATTAGCTTCCGATGAATACACCGTTTTTGAAGTGTAATAAAGAGTTTTGTCTTAAAGATTCTGAGTACCTAAACGCCGGATATTCGAACATCACACACGGCCCTCGATCAGCTGCCCAGTCCCACTTCTCTGTCCACTTCCCAAACCGTCTGTAGTCGACGAAACTCAACACTTCAGGATTTGAACCTTCGGCCTTCTTGGTGTAGAAATTCAAATGAGAGTGCTTCTCCATTTCATCCACGCCACAAAAATTGAATTTCCCAGACATGCCAAACTGAAACATGATATCTACGGATCGTGGCGAGATTGCATGCTTCTTTTTGTCCTTGCTAGGACTGTCACCTAACGCTGTCAATGTCAATTTCAACTCCTTTCCTCTCGAGGAAGCCGATATTGTGTAATCGGTGTGATCCCAAATGATGTCTTTACTCTTATGCACATCCGATTTCACGATTTTCCCCGCAAATACTCTTCCTTTACAAGCAAAGTTGACGAATCTACTTGCGAGGTGAAGCTCTGGTCCTTCTGGCATTCTGATGGGAAGAAATCGCTACTTCCAACAACCGTTCACACGTGTTTGTGTTTATATAACTGTGCATAAATAGTAAGAGTTACCTCCCTTTTAACACTCGCTTGCGATGGCTCGGGCGCAGCATCCACTGAGCTTTTCGCCATAGCAACCAGCTAATTTGCATATCATGTGAAAAGAATTGTTTGTAAACAATAACATAACAATATGTATTAGTTACATTTAAAATATAACAATATTTGGATAGCATCAGATTTCTGCGGGAGACGATAAAGCCACATTACTGATTTGTATTGACTGTGTAGGGGCCTAAGATTGATTGTATCTAAGATTGCTCTGTGTTAGTGGCCACTGCATGATTGTATCTTGAAAGTTACTGTAAGGTTTTGAGATTGAAAATGGCCATAGAATACATATTTTTAAAATCTTGATTATTTAACCAATTTAAAAGCCCACCTTAATTGTTTGTTAGTGTTTCTGACCAGAATATCAAGGGTATGTCAATTTAACTTTTTTAAATTCTACTTTTGGATTTGAATAAATATCTACTGTATACTGACACCAGCATGAAATTGAGCATGAAATTGAGTTGAGCACGAAATCTTTTTTATTTATTTTTTATTTTCATCTTTTTATTTCCCAGATGTTCATATACATTATGTCATACATATGTTTTTGTTTTAAACATATTTTATTCATTCAAGAAAAGGATTGGGCACAAGTTATCCAATTTAGAAAAGCCCTCTCCAGATAATTACACAATTCATCTTACAACAAAGTACACAAGTGACAGACATAGGCTAGGATATGTACAACAGATGTTAACTGAGAAAGCGTTTTGTTTGAGTGATATAGATATGTACATATTTGAAAACGTTCTGGTTTTCAGTGATTGAGAGACCTGCATTGCCATGTAAGATAAGATTAATATCAATCAGTGTTCTATTTTTGACAATATGTTCTAAAGATTTTAACAGTTTATGTCTTTGAATAGTATACAATGGACATTCAAGGGAGTAATGAAAAACATTCTCACATCTATGGCCATATTGACATGATGCGTCATTTTTTACATTTATTCTATATAAATAATAATTAAGTGTACTCGTCATATATCTTAATCTAGTGTGCATAACATTGAACTTCTTTATTCCATATGAATAATTTTTACTTCACGTGGATATAAGATTTAAACGAGGCAACATAGTCGCAATTTCTAATAGCTAAGGGAATATTATTCCACACTTTAACTGTTGATGGAATAAAAGATGACGTTGAGTACCTCAGTCTTGTATATGGTTGACTAAAGTTATTGAATTTTATAAAATAATGTTAATTTGCGTCTACTCCTACTCTCAGAAAGTAAATCCCATCACGTTTCATAATACAATGAACTGGAAGATGCATATCTTGGAAGACCAGTAACTATGCCCGCTGCTTCAAGTTGAAGTTTTTCTAATCTTTTAGCTTGTTCAATCAAACATCCATCCCATACCTCGCATGCTTACTCAAAGTGTGGCCTTATAAATACAGTATATATTTTTGCTAGTGTTGTTCTATTTAGTAAGAACTTTAATTTCCGAAATGCTCCAATTATTTTAGATGTCTTTTTGATAATGTTTTCAATATGATGATGCCAACTCCCGTTAGACGTGAAGATTAAACCCAGATGTTTATGAAAATCGACTGTTTTTATATTGCAGTTATCAAACTTCAAATTAATGTCTTTTCGGCCATCTTTCAAAGTAAATAATATAGCTTCAGTTTTTCCGGATTGTAAGAAATTAACCAGACCTTTGCCCAATCGCTTAATATTTCTAGATTTTCATTCATGGCTCTTTCCATCACTTGTTTGTCCTTTGATAAAGTTGCCAGTGAAGTATCGTCAGCGAAAAGCCGACTTATACAATGTAGCTTATCAGCTATCTCATTTACATACACAATAAAAAGAAATGGGCCTAAAACTGATGTCTGGGGAACTCCTGCTTTCAACACCATAGGCTTGGATAACGACCCATTAACAAAGACTGATTGATTGCGATCAGTTACATAACTATTAAACCAATCAAGGAGTTTTCCACTGACTCAATACATCTCTAATTTAAGCATAAGTCCTCTGTGCCAAACTCTATCAAAGGCCTTTGATACATCGCAAAAGACCATAGTATTCTTTGTTATCGAGTGATGTACAAATTTGATTATACATTTCTACAAGTTGATGTACAGTAGAATGACCTCTCCGGAAGCCTACACTGATATTTGTGTAACAAATCGTTTGACACAAAGAAATTATAAACATGCTTAAACACAACTCTTTCAAACAACTTCCCAACACAACTAATAAGTGAAATTGGGCGATAATTTGATACAACCGAATGGTCACCTTTCTTGAATAAGGGGATAACATTTGCATACTTCCATTGGCTAGGATACACACACAAATTTAGTGACATGTTAAGTAATATGCACAGGAATGGACTTATGGAATTAACAGTTTTTCTGAGTAAGTGGCGACTAATCTGGTCTGGCCCAGCAGCTTTCTTAAGAGGTAGACATTTAATGATATCTGAAACCTCATTAACTTCGATTTTAATGTTTCCAATACCGCATCGGTACGTTTGTCAAAATGTGGTAAACATGTGGTATCTGCACCATTTAAATTAGATATAGACTCAAAATATTCATTTAACATATTAGCTTTATCAAAATTTGAAAAAGCTGATTGACAACCTTCATCTGCATTTCTTTTCAAAGCGGGAATGAAGGAAGCAGAACCTGACGTCTTGATCAAACTGCGTAACATTTTCCAATATGATGATTTATTTTCACCATTGAGTTCGAATACAAATTCGTCAAGACTTGAATAAAAATGTTCTTTTGCATAACATTTCATATTATTAACTTTATTACGCTGCTTTTGCATTTCATAACATCAGTTTCCTTCCGTGTTCTCCTAGCTTTTATTCCTGAGTCGATCCCGCTTCCTAATTTCACGTCGAATATTTGAGTCATACCATGGTTTGTCATTTGATCTTATCATCACAGTTCTAGAAGGAATACATTGGTATAATCGTTAAAACGTTCATAAAATACACAGCAAGCATTTTCAACATTAGAACAGTCAGTAAACAGTGACATCCAATCCGTACTGCTAACAAGTGCATTCAGTTTTTCATAATCACCATTATTGTAACACCAAACTTTTCTAGGATATGCAGCTTTAGTTGATCCATGTACATCAAGGCTGACAAACGTGCCTTTGTTATCACTTATACTTTTATCAAAATCAACAACACCTCTTTCAACAACATCAACTACGTCACTAACAACTATTGGATCTAAAAGAGTGCTGGTTGTCTTGGTCACCCTTGTGGGTTCCGTTATAACATTACGTAAGTTTTTGTCTAAGTAAGATGTCTGTTAAGTTTAGATTGGCTGTGGAAAGTAAGTTTTCATTCAAGTCACCGACAAAAATAACTTTACTTGAAATATCTAAAGCACCTTCAATGCTATTGTCAAATCTGCTCCAAAAGTTGGCAGTATTACTTTCAGGTCTGTAAACTGTGTAAATGATTAATGGTTTTTGTGGAAGAAATAGTTTAACCCATACAGATTCATCATACATATTTTCAAGATTTGAAAGTCTGTCAAAAGTTAATATGTTCATATAAAACATACATATACGAGTTAGATCATACAATAGGTATTCTACATATTCTCATTACATCTATTCTGGTGTCTACAATTCAACTATTATACATATTATATTTTTAATATCAATACGTGTGATGTCCTATTAACTTATGGTGCGGTACTGAAGCTTATACATTATATATTTGCACACCAGTAAACGAAGTGTGAATATTATTTGTAAATGAAATGCATCTACGTGCTTGATAGTATATGAAATCCTTTTATAACCTCGGATCCTGGGTCCTGTATGTCTGACAGAGTACTATTGAACTCACCCCTGTATGTACGAAAGTACATGGCAATTGTTCTATTGAGTTCACGTCAGTATGTCAGGAAATGTACTTAATGTAAGCTACTTTAATGGGGAACGGGTCAAAAGGGACAAAAGGAACAAAACTGGAAAAGTCAAAAGGGCGAAAGAAAAGTCAAAAGCCATAGATTAAAGTCAAAAGGGCAAAACTGTTTATCTAAAACATCTCCGAGTGGTTTGTGTTTATAATTTATGAACTCGTATAGTCAACCATACAACTTCTTTGATTGGCATTCTAGAAGATGTGTAGATGAAGAATGAGGACTATTTTTATGGATATACAGGCCGCTTTATTCTGTATAGGCGATGTTTCGACACAGATTCTAATGTCGTTGTCAAGCATGTGGTACATGAGAAGTAATTTTGGGTGATATATATAGTATACATAAGATGTTTGGACAATAGATGAGGGATGAGGCGAAAATGAGATGTTTTTTACAACAGAAGAGGTTGATAACACAGGATTAAGTAGGTTGACAGGAAGCTTCTTCAACCATACAACTGTTTATTTAATGATTACCAGAGGTTTTAACAGAGTCACTGGTGACAATAACACTAGTCAGTAATCAAAACAAGATTAATGAACTCAGACAAGTATGTATCCTAAGCTATCCGACAGTCAGTAGTCGCCAATTATAAAATGAACTACATACGCCATGGCAATATATTTTAGTCTGTTACTTCTTCATCGTTATTAATTGCAGTCTCGAATAGCTAAGATACATAACGTTCATGTTAGTGAACAGACAATAAAATAAATTTATTATGGTATCTGACTGCACACATGGGCATTAATCAGTCGACTGCGCGGAGAAGAGTTACTTCCCATGATTATAGATGGCGCTAATTTCAAGATGTCAACCTCCATGTATTGAATTGTTTACCAACACTGTGAATTTGTAGCAGGCTACAAAAACTGATCATGTTCCAGCGGAAATCTTCCTTCATGTGATTTCGAAGAATTATTTGAAGGCAGAAGAAAATGTCAGCAGGTAATTGTTTCTTGACTCGTCAAAACGGCTTTTAGCATGTTCAGCAATTTCAGTCTGATTATGAGACTCATAACTTGAAATCCTGTCCTGAACATCTTCCGTAGAACAAGTATGGGTGACTACCTAAGAGTGTGTAACAATTCAATCGAAGTGTAACATCCCAAACGAAGCATGGCCCGAACCTATTACCAATCGGTGATCATTTCAATCAATTCGTGATATTTTCAATGGGTTGCCGCTACTACCAGTGACTACGTCCGGAAACAAACAAACCACCACCGTCGAAAACGACAGGTTATACCACGTCAGGGTATAACAGGGTGTAACACCGTGTCTAGGCACAACCAGAGGCGATTGGACATTAATCATTGAGAAAATAAACACAATTACACGACACATACAGCTGCAACTGATCCGTGCTTATTTCAATAACATGTCGTGTTGTTATACGCCACTGATCATGATGATATTTTCCCAACAAATTATGATGTATTCACACTTTAGGGTTACTTTTGAAATACAGATTGGCACAATATAAGTATTTTTATTAAAGACTGAATACCTGACAATTATCCAGGCATAACACAAATATCATTATCATCACCATAGAGAACCAGGAGCACTCAAAGCAGATAACGCAGATATTGAATGCATGGCGTTTTATTATGTAAACACAAGAATAAGGGATGAAGAGTGACTGGATCTATTTTTCAGATCAATAAATTGCTGTTTCATGTAAATATGCACAAAGGTTTTGTGAGAATAGTAAATGAAAATGGACAATGTGAGACTTGTCTCATATTGTCTGTCAAATAAATGTATGGTGATTAGCGACAAAGATTATTATCCATATACATGTGTAATTATATATATGGTGCTGTGTTTGCAAAGAAAATCCATTACGATTTTAGACATTGTTGTACCATTTTGGTGGGAAACTTTTGGTTTCATTTTAATCTGATCCTTTTTCAGTAACCTACATTTTCACGAAGCAGAAATAATTGAAGAATGATGATAACTTTATGGCTATACAACTTCTATATTCTGTGAAAGGTGACGTTTCGAAATAGATTCTAATGTCATTGTTAAGCAAGTGACATTGTTAAGCAAGTGACATTAGAATCTATGTTGAAACGTCACCTTTCACAGAATATAGAAGTTGTATAGCCATAACATTATCATCATTCTTCATCACCGCAACTTTAAAAATGCCCTTCAAAGAAGTCAGAAATAATTGCCTATCTTGAACATGAAAGCAATGTGTTTGTATATTGTGGTGTATGTTTTGCAAGAAAGATTGTCGGATCAAAGTGACAATCTTATCATGAATGACAGGGTTAAGAAATAACATAATAACCATACTACCGGTATTTGCAAAAATCTTGCATGCTTCCTGTCTGGATATTTAAAAAAACTGTTTACTTTGTTTTAACAGTTGATGACAGTCCACCTAGTCCTGACTCACAGGAATCAGAGCCGAAACTGACCAAGGCACAGTTGGCTCGGATTGAGAGAAACAGGCAAAGAGCTCTCCTGCTTAAACAGGCACGCTTACAGAGCAGGCCTTATCCAGAGGGGAACCCGTAAGTTGTCTGTTATCCTAACCACACATAGTGGGTATGGTATGCCTGTTGGGGTATTTGTTGTTTTATTCTCCAGAAATAGTTTGTATTTAGTTCTGGACCAAACCAGTATTTGATAACAGGGATTGGGATAGAGAACTTTGACAATGGGCCATTTTCAGGATTATTAGCCATTTTCTGAATTTAGAATGGGCCACTGCCCTTGTATCAATAGTAAACTTCAAAATTTTAATGGGCCATTTTTTATTCTAATGTGCAAAATGGCCCATGGCCCTTGCCTTTCCCAATCCCTGTGATAATGATCTAAGCCAAGTTCCATTCTGTCTTGTTCAATGACGCTTTATAAATTATATGACTACAGTTTTAAAAAACACTGGTCATGGGTCATTCCCAAAACATCAACACAATTTCGTAAAACAAACATAAGCTCACATATGAGTTTTAGCTTAAATTTAAGAATACTCAAATATTCTCAAATAATACTGATTTCAATTTCTGATTTAAACCACCTGAAATTTATTTTTTCTGCAAGTTTGCTTTAGTTTTCATACTCAGGTTCAAACTGTTTGCAGGTATGTGTAATGTTTGATGTATCTTTGCCAATCTCTGTTTCCTAATCTACTATGTTGTAAAGAAGTCTGCATGTGACAAACTGAATTTAAATGGAATCGTTTTGTTTGTGTTTTGTCCAATGGTTCCAAAGTGCTTTCAAAATCTGACTGAGAAAAGGGTGTCATTGTTCTCAGAACGGTCTCTGAACTCTGATGTTGTATGAACACGAAGAGTATCACTTCTTTAATAATATGATAATACATGCCATATGTTTAACATTGTTAACATACATTGTTCTCCATGTTTCAGCTTAGGCATGGATGCCGACACATACTGTTGAGAAATTTGCATAACTATCCTAATGAGTTATGACATTTAGACCTATTACAGAATTAGTCATGTAGTTGTATGAATGCAATATTTCATAATTAATTAGCAATAAAATAATCATGATACTTTGCATAACAGATGGTTCAAGCTTGATATGTTTTAAGCAAAATGACAACTGATAGTGAGAGAATGATATTTTATTTTTACTTTCCACCACATCTATGAGATTATCAGTATGTGTGATTGTTATCGTTGTCTGCTTGTCAGCATCGTATCTGTGCCTGTGTATTTCACTAAACCCGAAACGTCTTTGACCTCAGTTTTGGAATTTTATCCAGCTCTGTAAATCTGTTCAACGTGGCTTTAGAACCAGCTCACTCAATTTTGTATATTTTGTAACGTGTGATAAGTTATATTTGAATTGATTCTCAGGGCTCCAGATAACTTTTGGGGGTGTGAGTGTACTTACACAGCATATTGCAAGTGGAGGTGTACTGAGAAGTTTGAAGGAGTACTGACATGTTTTTGTGTGAGCGAGTTGATGTTGTTTGTCTGGACGATTCATCGATCACTATTTCCAATCATGTATTTGTATTTGAAGACGTGTGAGAAATAACTGAGCGACTGTGTGATGCGCGAAATATCAGATCCGACTGGATATAAATAGGAACAGTGTAGTTTTTAGCCAATCGAAAAATAGTGACGCATGTCATTGCATGGCAACGCAAGGGATTCCTACTGTCAGGGTTTCGTTATGTGTCAAATCCTGTTTCGCAAAGAAACTCTTGACAAGTATTTATCCGAAATAGATTTCCATTTGCACGATACGCACGGAAATTAAATGTTAGACGTACGAAGGTATTTATGTGCGTACACGATACGCTTGAAATCTTATATTGTGTCGTACTTAATTGATTTTGAGGCGTACATTACGCCTGTACGCCCCTTATCTGTAGCCCTGGATTCTGATTCATTAGTTAGTGCTCAGACAACAGTAAACTGATAGTTTATTATTTGTGTATTTGTGAAATGCCTTTTAAACATTGAAACATGTCTATTTGCTCCAACAAAGTCAATATCGCTGGACTATTGCTGAGTGCATTGTTAAACAACAAAACTAGCAAGGCTTATAATAATTGCTGAAAATATGTGTTTTAGAATTTGCAGTATTTCTCCACAAAACATGCTAAATCATTCAAGATCTGATTGTAATGTCTTTTCATCATGGTCATATGTCTGTAACCGTGGTGATGCTGCTCTGTTTGCAGGGACAAACACAAAGTTAAGGCACCGCCTCGTGAGATCGATTCTGGTGGAGGGTTCTACATCGAAGAAGATGATGAAGCTTTGCAAAATGTACACAAAAACATCGTTCATCCTGAAGGTAGCACCCTCTTGAAAGTTCTCATATTTCTTTGAATGGGGGGAGGCAGGAATGTGGGAATGTTAATGGGGCATCAGACACTAGACATGAAAGGGTTGCCTCCCTTAGATATGGGAGAACGTATGATCTTAAGTTTATTCCCAGTTCAAACTGATTATGTTTTGGGTTTGTCAGTACCACAGCAGTGATCATGGATTCCACCAAAGTAGTGGAGACCTGTCACAGTTGGCTGTTTTCCCACTTCAAGCTGACATGCTGTAATAGAAGTGATTAAGTGAGTTTAGTTTTACACCACAGTCAGCAATATTCAGCTCTATGGCGGCGTATTATAAATAATCAAGTTTGTACCAGACAATCTAGTGATCAACAGCATGAGCATTGATCTACGATGACATGTGGCAACCAAGTCAGCGAGCGTGACCACCCGATCCCGTTAGTCGCCTCTTATGACAAGCATGGGTTACTGAAGATCAATTCTATCCTGGATATACGGGTTGTAATATAAGACAATGAAAACTGGGCCAGAGGTGTTTCCGTCATGACATTGGTACAATGGGGATTTCATGGACTGGTTTAGCTTTTAATGTGTATCCAGTTGGCAGAAGATGGTCATGTATCAATCACAGGATTGCCTGACCCAAACTCGATTACACTAATAACTCCAATATATTGTTTTCATTCTCAGTATGTTAAAGATCAAGTTGAGATCATGGTAAATGATGACCCTGACCATAATATATAGCTGAAGTATCACAGTGATGCTAATGGCAGGAAATACTGAGATGCAAGTAAATGAAGAAAGTCAGAATATTTGCATTATGAAAACTTCTTTGTGTTTTTGAAGATAATTTTCACACAGGTAATGATATTATTAAGATTAAATGGGACATCCACTAAACTTATTTTAATTTGTATTTTTATTTGTCAGAGGGGCAAAAACGTATTTTAATTTGTCAGATGGACCTGATGATGTTGGGTTCTGTAGGCTTAGCGATCTGGTGTTCTGGCGTGTTTACATTAACAGAACCTCTTGTCCCTGTAACTGTTGCAGGTCCTGTGTTGGCAGTCGACAACTTAGTGTGTGATGGATGTGGGAAGGAGTTTATGGAGTCCTTCCTCCTCCAGTACTTTGATGTCACTGTGTGTGATGTCTGCAGGTGAGACTGTAGTGTTGAATCCTTTGATTTGCATTAACCATTGTATGGGACAGAGATATTTGCTGGTGAGGACAATGTAGTATGTTCAATCATTTGATGTGACTATCTGCAGGTGTGAATTGTGTAACATTCTGTAATGTGTAATGATTACAACCTTAACATGTTTTTGTGAATCTTAATGAAATGCAGAATTCCTTTTGGGACCATGTTCGAAGACAGTAGGGTCAGTGGGTTAAGGCGTTCGCCCGGGTACGATTCCCCGCATGGGCACATTGTGTGAAGCCCATTTCTGGTGTCCCCTGCCGTGACCCCTTGCTGGAATATTGCTAAAAGCGGTATAGAACCCAACTCACTCACTCAAAGACAGTATCATGACACAAATATGTTTCTCTTGAAAAACATAACAGTCTGTTACCGTGTTAAATCTTACTGGAATAGTTTTTGTTCTTGTGGTGTTAAAGTTTGGTGTTGAAAATAGTGTTTCGTCTTGCACACAGACAAGATGAGGAAAAGTATGGCTTGATTACCAAATCAGATGCAAAGAAGAGGTTTCTCCTGAAAGACTGTGACTTTGATAAAAGAGAACCGCCTCTAAAGTTCATCATCAGGAAGAATCCTCACAATGAAAGATGGGGGGATATGAAGCTGTACCTGGAGACTCAGGTAATCACACACTTTTATAAAGCTGTACCATGAAACTCAGCTAATCACCCCCCTTTATGAAGCTGTACCTCAAGACTCAGGTAATCACACATGTTTATGAAACTGTACCTAAAAACTCTTGTAATCGCACACTTTTACTAGGCTCTATCTCAAGACTCAAGTAATCACACACCTTTATGAAGCTGTACCTCAAGACTCAGATAATCACACACCTTTATGAAGCTGTACCATGAAACTCAGGTAATCACAGACCTTTATAAAGCTGCACCATGAAACTCAGGTAATCACACACCTTTATAAAGCTGCACCATGAAACTCGGGTAATCACACACCATTATGAAGCTGTACCATGAAACTCAGGTAATCACACACCTTTATAAAGCTGCACCATGAAACTCGGGTAATCACACACCATTATGAAGCTGTACCATGAAACTCAGGTAATCACACACCTTTATAAAGCTATGAAGCTGTAATCACACACCATTATGAAGCTGTACCATGAAACTCCGGTAATCACACACCTTTTTGAAGCTGTACCATTAAACTCAGGTAATCACACACCTTTATGAAGCTGTACCATGAAACTTAGATAATCACACACCTTTTGAAGCTGTTCCTGGCATATTTTCCTGGAAAATTGTTTCAGTGAATAGAATGCTCATTATACTCAAAATCGTGTTATTCCCAATGTCAATCACATGACGTTAGATGCTCTATTTTGAGTACAAGATCATGTGAGGCAAGGGGAAATGAAGTTTGTCATTTCATATTCAAGATTATTACACTAACATAGTGATATAAAGCACTTGTGTGCAGCAGCTTGTGCTTATCTGGTGAGTGAGTTTTAGTTTTACAACAGCAATATCACGGCAGAGGGACACTAGAAACGGGCTTCACACATTGTGGCCATGTGGGGAATCGAACCTGGGTCTTCGGTGTGACAAGCGAACACTTTAACCACAAGGCTACCCCACCACCCCTGCGCTTATATGGACTTGATCAGGGCTCCAGATAAGGGCTGTATTGGCGTATGTACAGATAAAAAAATATGCACGATACGATAGGAAATAATTTAGAAAACGTAGCAGATACGCACCACAGCAATGGTGTACAGTCTTAGAATCATTTACAGACGTATTTATCTGAAAAAAAGTATTGTTTTATTGTTTATTGACCTGTTTCCACAAGAGTAGCAATGTTGTGGTGCATATTTGAAACAAAACACAAGATTACTGATAGTCCATTAGCTTCCATTCAGTACTCTAAATGTACACTTAAGGTTTTCCAGTACTCAATATTGAACAAATAAGGAGTATGTACTCCTGATGTTGAAAACTTATCTGGAGCCTTGCTTGATATCTGATCTGGTTTGATCGTGGAAGACAGTTGAGATGCTCAGTTTCAAAATTGTTACAAAGTCGCAACGTCAGATAAACTATATGTGACATATGTCATTGTATCCCAATTGTGTGGATTGATGCTCATGCTGTTGATCACTGGTCTTGTCTTGTTCAGACTCTTTGATTTACAGGCCGCAAACAAACAAAACATAAACAGGACTTGGGAAATAAGGGAAGTAACTCTAGCCAGGTGAAGTGTCTGTTCAGTGGCCATATAAACTGTTATAATGTAAAGGTAAGGGAGATAATTCCAGTAGCTGTAAAACCCTGACACAGTAGAAGTGACCTGTTTGTCAAGTGGGATAATGGTAAGAGTAAGTACACATGATAAACAGGCCATTGTTACAAATTAATGGGTCTGCTAGTCTGGTGATGTTCAGGAAGAACTTGTGGCATTTCCTTCTGGAGAATCACTTTTACCTTCAGGTAGATGGCAACTTTTCAGCAAATCATTTTTAGAGACAAGTGAAAATAAATATGACTTTCTCAACCTTCATGACAAAAGAACACCTGACAATGTGTTGCCCATAAGAGTTTATGGCTCTGTGTTAACAATAAACAGCGTGTCTACTAGTGGTGATCCGATTAATTGAAATAATCAAAGATTGGTCGCAGTGACTATACCAAGCAATCGATCATGTTTTCTCATAATCGAACATAAACAATTCTAGAACACTTGTTTTCATTAACAGTATTTTTCACTAGGTTGGTTTTGTCTGTTACATTTCATAAGCACTACAAGCTTGTTCCAAGTCATGGTTGAATTTATCTAAAGACTCTAAGAAGTTTATGTTCCTCCATACTAGTCATCCTTTAAAGATGTGAAGTTTTGCCAAAAAAACCCAAAATAACTACATGATTTTTTCCTTACTTTTTTGTGCATTAACAAATTTCATAAATGACGCTAACCAATTATGTTCGATGATTGATCGGTGGTAATGAACCAATCATCAATTATGAGATTTTAACCAATTCCCAACACTAGTGTCTACGTATTTGCTTCTTTGAAACTTATGTTAGAAGAACCAATAGTCAGTAATGTATGCATTATTCACACAGCCAATAATAGAGAGTCATTAGTGATATGAAAATACTGATCCAGTGATGTTAATCTATTCACTCACCCGGAAGTTCCAGTACTGTTGATGAGACAATGTATACTGCTGTTTGTTAGTTTAGAGCCACATTTGGTAATATTTATGCAATCGGCAATTAATAGAGTCTTGACCTGACAATCCAGTGATTGAAATTATTCATTTACAAAATTGGAATATGGGGACATACATCAGCCAAGTCAGTAACCCTGATCACACCATCTTGTTAGTGTCCGCTGATGACCATCAAGGCTTGATGAGACCAATTCAAACCTAGACCTTCCTGGAAGGACGTCACTAAGAACATACACAAAACGTGTGTGTCTCAGGTCATATGACAGACTTCTTGTCCAATGGGGGCGGTGGGGTAGCCTAGTGGTTAAAGCATTGGTTGTCTCGCCGACGACGACCGCTGTGATATTGCTGGAATATTGCTAAAAGCGGCTTAAAACTAAACTCACTCGCTCACTCACTCTTGTCCAATGGATAAAGATTTATGTGAATTGTGCATTAAAACGTAACATAATAATCTCAGAAGCGACAACCAGTTCATGTTAAATGTATTTAATAATATTTATATTTTAATTGTTATAGCAGTTTTTGCAGTGTTTCCAGCCAGTTCAGTATTCCACTAGAGAAATGAGTTCAAGTCATCATATATTTGGCTAATGCATGAGTTGTTGCTGCAGGTTTCAGCTAGGGCCATGGAGGTGTGGGGGGATGAGGAGACGCTGGAGGAACAACATGAGAAGAGAGGTCAGAACAGAGAGAAGTCCAAACAGAAGAAGTTTGACAAGAGAGTTAAAGGTATGACATAGTAACAGGAAACTTTCACCATGCTGGTAGTGCTGCCGCCATGGTTTTCTAGATGAAGCATCTTTCAGAAGCATCTTCAAGCCTCAGCCACATCATAGTTAAAGATGTTAAATGATGGTACTTGTTGTTTCCCTGCCTGATGCTCAGCATTAAGTGGATAGGACAAGGACTGCTATGCCCAGAATCAGTATTTGAGTCTGATTTGGGTGTCCATGTTGAACTGCATTTCTCAAAAGGCTGACACTTTCGTGTTTGTGAGGAGTTAGCTTGAACTAAGGCCAGACCAATTTTATTTCTTGTTTTACGGATCCACCGGTCGTATTTTTTCAAGATTAAGAAAAAAATAAATATTATTTTTCCCCGCTCTAAAAATAAAATCCTAATGTTTTTATTGGCCAAAAATGTAAACTTACAAGGATTTTTTTTTTTATTCTATTTTGCCCATATGCACTTCATAAATTTCAAAAATAAAATACTTTTAGTATTTAGAAGGAATTTTACTTTGGTTATTTTATTTTATTTTATTTTTTCCTCCTGCCTTTAGGTTTTCTGAAGACAAAAATCCGTAAAACAAGAAAGACAAATGGTCTGGCCTAATAGTTCATAAAAAAATTCATTATTAATTATTACCACTACAAGCGATATATTAGGAAAATATGAATATAGAAACCGAAACAAGCAGGCAAACTGTGGATGCATGTGTTAGTTTCTGTCTTTGTGTGTGTTTGTGGTATGTTGTACTCTTGATTAGGAAATTAGTTGTAAGGAAATTGGAACATTCCATCTGCAATGACAGGGGATCACTGTATGTTGTTGAATGACATAAAATTACATAGAGGATATTATATGAGTGCCCATGTCATACTATGTTTACAACACGAGTGCCTAATGTGTTGGTATTTCCCGAGCGAGTGCGAGGGATATACCGATATTTAGGCACGAGTGTCATAAACATAGTATGACATGAGCACAAATATAATATTCTGTTTATTACCGAAGTCGTCAAACTGAGGAATATATAAACCCAAATCTACTTTCAAACATAGGCTGTCTACCCACCGTCTCCGCATGTAGAACGCAACGTCACAGAAGAAACGTGACGTCATAGCATTGTTCATGACGTCACGTCACCATGACAAAGCGATATTTTGTCCTCGGGCATCGTATGAAAAATATGAACCCTGATATGTTCGCCCTCGTAGGTAATATAACACATTCTTGTCTTACCTTCAGAGTTGAGGATGGCAGTCCGAAGCAGTTTATGGAGGAAAGATTCCGGATCCCATGAACATGAGTTTGGTGAGGAAACCTACGATGAGGATGAAGATATGTACTCGAAAACATGCAAATCCTGTGGACATGTGATGACATATGAAAAGATGTGATGAAACTTGAAACAATTTCATGTAAAGATGATGAAGAACATGATGCACATGGATGGGCAATACACACATCTAAATGCTTGGTATTATTCCTGGGTGCTGTGTATTTAGACACTGGTTATGTCTTTATATCATGCATGTCAAAGATGTTCTGAAATGGCATCAAAATGATTATCCTCTTGAAGGGAACTATGTAGAAATTTGGAGAATTGGAACGTCACTTTAAGTTAATCTGTGGAGGGTGATGGCATTGATTTCTGGCAATTGTTATTTGTAGATACATAAATTTGTTCATGCTGCTTGCTCAGGGACAATATGAAATTGTGACATCTTTTCATTTAACATACGGGTCACCTGAAGACACATTTTCATGTGCTATGCTAGATATTGAAATAGTTTTGCAGTTGCCATTACACAAGCAGTGGATCAATATTTTATGAAGGTCATATTGTTTTAATCAGTTCTGGTGTAATGCTTAGTCACTGAACTCACCTTCCCCTTCATCTTCATCAGTTTCCATTGATATTTTTAGATACATGAAATTATTCATGGAACATAAATTTTCTCAAGGACAGAATGAAATTGTTACAGCTTTTCCTCCATGAACACCCGACCAGTCTGACTGCAGTTCTGCTGGTTTGTAATTCTTATTCCACAGAAGAATAGTCCTGAATAGTCATGGAAAAAACCCTTTGGTCTTTTGTCTTTGCATATCATTAATTTGTGTTTGCTGCAACTGAGGGTGGTTTAAAGTAAGTATGAGAGTATGTTGATGAATATGGAGAGCTCTTGAGACAACACAATGAGAAGTGTCAACAAAGAATGGTCGTTTTATTTCTAACAGTACAATTTATGGGGCAGGACGAACAACATGCACAAAACTTGCAGTGTCCGACAGAGGCTACCAGAGGAAGGTGGTGAAGTGAGGCTGACACTTGGGCAGCAGATGGGCTGGATTGACTGGTCAGTTCGTCCCTTCAAGTCCCTGTCTTGCCTTTCTTCTGGTCTGTCCGCTCGCTGCTGGCCGGTTCTGCTCTATTTTATTGTTCTGCCTGCTTTTAAAGGCAGATGAGTGACGAAAAAAACTGCATTGGTCTGCATTTTTCACAGACATAATCTTTAAGTCGGCAGTCTTCATGGACATTCTCTTCCTTGCAGGCCATATTTTGACAGATTGACAGTAAAAAAAGTTTACTTGTATAATTATGTATATAATAAATTAATTCCACCATCGTCATCATCATCATCATCGCTACAACGGGATCGGGTGGTCAGGCTCGCGGACTTGGTTGACACCTGTCATCGGTCCCCAATTGCGCAGATCGATGCTCATGCTGTTGATCACTGGATTGTCTGGTCCAGACTCGATTATTTACAGATCACCGCCCTATAGCTGGAATATTGCTGAGTGCGGCTTAAAGCTAAACTTACTCACTCACTCATTGCTACATAAAGAACTACCCTTGACAAGGTTGATCTATTAAAGCAAGGACCCGAGGACCTGACCAGTGAGGTGGTCAGACTGGATTGTGGAATTGGTCACGTCCAACGGTCCATGTTTTCCATATTGACCTCCCCAAGAGTAATCATTTATTTGGTCATATCAAAATTCACCGACAATTCCATGAAGCTTTATCAACAGTCCTGTTTCATTACAATAACCCATCTGGGAACCAAGAAATGTTATCAGCTGCACCCCTGGTATTCTTGAATTGGTGAATTGGCATACAACTTTGTGGATGAAAACTTCTTGTTTATTGCATGGAGCAACGTTTCCATGTAGATTCTTCCATCACAGTTAGCTTGATAACAATGAAATAATCTACATGGGAACATCGCTTTATGCAATAAACAAGAAGTTGTCATCAATAAAGCTGTATGCTTCATTTTTGAATCAGTATGCATCATATGACAGGTCAAATTTCAAGCCCAGTGTCCAGCACAATGTGGGGTCAAGCGACATAGTGTAGCTATGAGCATGCTTACGAGCGTAGATTTGTGCGCACTATAATTATTCTACACAAAACACCTGTCCCAAAACAGACTTTCAGTTATTTAGTCCATGCACATACAATGCATGACAGTTATGAGTTAGTTTGGGTAGAAAATAGTTCATTGCAGATGCTCTCTTGAGTGTTGAAAATACAAAGTTTTAGCTTTATCTTCGTGACCGCACAGATGACGCTGAGCATATTTGAAAAGCATGCAGATATGAAACTGGGAAAGGAAAGCTAAGATTTGCCTTAATAATATAGTTCAGTTGTTGATCTGCCTTTTGAGTTTTCTTTATACCATTAGGTATAGGCGGATCCAGAGGGGGGTGCAGGGGTGCGCCCCCCCCCCCCCTTTCCCCTTTCCCTTGTGCTGAAAGTTGAATGACCATTGAAACTCGGGTGAAAATGAAGTGTGCACCTTTTTTTTTCTCTCAAAAGCTGTATCCGCCCCTGCTAGGCATGGCCGCATGGGTCTCCCTCAGAGTAGTCTGAGCTTCCATGATTCGCTTTGAGCATTCCAGAGGGGCAGCGAGGTAGCCTAGTGGTTAAAGCGTAGGCTCGTCACGCCGAAGACCCGGGTTCGATTCCCCACATGGATACAATGTGTGAAGCCCATTTCTGGTGTTCCCGGTCGTGATATTGCTGGAATATTGCTGAAAGCGGCGTAAAACCATACCCACTCACTCACTCAGCATTCCCGAAACGTTTCCTCGCTGGTTTGATTCCGAGTTCGCCGCCATTTTGTTTCAAGGTTTGTCACTCATGCATTCATACCTGAGGGGCATATTCTGCTGTAAGTCGTTTGTCATTTGGCCAACAAATACAAAGTTAATCAGTTGTTTGACTACATTGTTTCAGTGAACATATTCTGGACTGATACAATTTATACATTATGGTCTTTCCAAGCATATGTTGTAAGCATGTTCTTCTGACACATTAAACGATCATTTCACTCACTTCTGTGGACTTTGTGTTTTCTTTTCTGCTAACCGTGAAGCTCTGGTTTTGACCTGTATATTACCGTTATTACGATAGTGTGAGCCGTTATGAGGCCCGTTTTGACACAGACGTTAGCTGAATGTAGATATTCTGGATGTTTATGTTTCGCATGCTATATATTAGACATTGTCACACGCGTCGCATTTTCGAAATCAACGGACATAGCGGCCATATTGGAAATCAGATTTGAACCCGTTGTAGAAATTCATATGTTATCATTCATAGGATCAGCATGCCAAATTTTACCTTCACTATTCCAGTGGTTTCTCAGAAAACACAAGCTTCACCGTCCTAGGTCATAACAAAAGTCCAGTGTATAGCAGGCGCGTAGCAAGCCATTATTTTTCGTGTGAGCCCGATAGGTTTCAAAGCTTTACAGTTAGATAGTATTTGAGGTAATTTTGGCAAGAATTATAAATTTTATGCTTTTTAAACAAAAATCATGTGTAAGCCCGGGCTTTTTATTATAATGGTAGCTACGCCCCTATATATATATATATATATATATATATGTATATATAAGATTGTGTCGCATTTATAAAGAGGGATTGGATACAGAATTAGGTAACATACATATAATAAGTAGAACTTGAACAGTATACAATAACTTCTCTTGACTTGAGCTAAAAGTCAATCTTCTCCTCATTCAAAATTACAGTGAGTGACTTGGATTTTACGCCACCTATAGCAATATTCCAGGAATATTGCAGCGGAGACACCAGAAATGGGTTTCACACATTGTACCAATGTGGGGAATCGAACCCGGCTCTTCGGCGTGACGAGCGAACGCTTTAACCGCTGGGCTACCCAACCGACCCGTAATCACTCATATTGATTACGGCAGATTTATATGAAAACGAGAATGGTGCACGATTATTTTTCCTATTATTGCATAACCTATTTAATGGAAACATATACATCCTCTTTCTGCGTAGTTAGAACGCGGAATTTGATATTTAGGTCATGACAACTTTCAGACAACTCAAGTCTGTGCAGTGTGAAGCATATCTCGCCCACGCCGTGCCACTGCCGAAGGGTCAACGAGCCATGCTGCTGCATTCCAAGTTGAAATAATTGGGGTAAAGAGAAGTGGGATTTTCCTCAACAACAGTTTAATAAAGTAGCTTACAAAACAACCATATAACAGTAAATCCAGGAGGTGATCGACGGAAGACGACTGGACCCATGTCCAGTGTTAATGTTTCTTCTCACCTCCGATACACACTCAGGTCAAAGTGACCGCTCTTCGCTTTTTGGCGGTTGTGTGTGATTCACGGAGCGCCACGATTTGCTGACAATTGCACAAGCATTCCGCGCATAGCGGAATAACCCGAAATTGTCACGAATGAAGCATTCGGCACCACTCGCCCGTCTCCGTAGACTGTGAGAACAGTAATAACGCGAATGCGAACGAAGATGCTGATTATTCGTCATCACTCGTGTCTTTCCGTCAGCCCCCGATAACTGGACATCTGTGTGCTGTGTGGTTTGCACGACAGTGCTTTCCTCCGGTAAGTGTTACAGTCACACATTTTAGGTGGAGAGATACCGTAGGTTTATGACTGCATCATCGACGGTAGCAGCAGTGACTGCCAACGCAGCACTTTAACGCTAGTAGTGATGACTGAATATGCCTGCACTCCAGCACTGTCTAATGCACGGACACAGACGAAATATGCCGATCTGCGATGTCGGCTTCAGACATTGTTTTCCGAATGTTAAAATTATACTCGTTATAATTAACTGACATCTGGAAATAAATCAGACCCAAGACAGGCCACGTATCTGTTATATGAAAGATTTAAATAAGAATGCCGGTATGAACTGCATGTGAGAAATCGATTAGCGAAAGGACCAGAGCTACATACTTCACGTATTGGCAGATTAATTAAACATATCTATGGACAATAAATTGCATTGATCTAAGTTTGTACTACAACACATGATCATTCACTTAAATCAATCATGTTTTACTGTGATGGTAACCTATTTGCAAAAGGTTTCAGAGTGAAGCTTGTATTATTTACACTTGACCTGCCCACTTAAACGCTGGCATTTAACCATTTAATCACATGACTCTACAACTTGTACAAGGCAGGGGAAGTTTCAATGCAGTGGGATTGGGTCCGCATAGAGACTTTACGCTGCTTTTTATTAATGTTAAGTTTGTGTCTAAAACGGTTATGAATGAATATTTGAAATGCTGCGGCACCTTGAAGGTTGTACTTTGAGTGATCTCCAACTGCAGTTACAACTACAGTTACAACTACGGTTGATGTGTAGAACAGTTAGGCTTACTGCTTCGTGTATATGCAATGTCGCGCATTACTGGCTGTTGTATATACAAAACCATGCATTACTGATCTGTGTATATACATGTCATGCATCACTGATCTGTGTATATACATGCCATGCAACACTGATCTGTGTATATACATGTCATGCATTACTGATCTGTGTATATACATGTCATGCATCACTGAGTGCTGTATATAGTCATGCATCACTGAGTGCTGTATATAGTCATGCATCACTGAGTGCTGTATATAGTCATGCATCACTGAGTGCTGTATATAGTCATGCATCACTGAGTGCTGTATGTACAAATCATGTATTACTGATATGTGTATAAACAGCAACTAATGATAATCAGGACATTTGTGTAGCACTGATATGATGGGCATGCTCAAAGCACATACAACAGTTCAATTTTACAAGTCAATTTTAATGTCTCCCAAAGAAGGCATGCATTACTGACTGTTGTATAGACATGTCATGCGTTACTGATTGTTGTATAGACATGTCATGCATTACTTACTATTGTATAGACATGTCATGCGTTACTGATTGTTGTATAAACATGTAATGCATTACTGACTTGTATAGATGTGTCATGCATTACTGACGGTTGTATAGACGTCTCATGCATTACTGACTGTTGTGTAGACATGTCATGCATTACTGACTGTTGTATAACCATGTCATGCATTACTGACTGTTATATATACAAGTCATGCAATGCTGACTGTTATATATGCAAGTCAGTCATTACTGGCTGTTGTATATGTAAATCATCTATTACTGCTCTGTGGTAAAAACAAGTCACGGATTACTGACTTGAATATGCATTACTGGCTGTTGTATATGCAAATCATGCATTACTGCTCTGCAAGTCATGCATTACTGGATGTTGTATAAACAAATCATGCATTACTGACTTGTATTAACATGTGCATCACTGAGTGTTGTATATGCAAGTCATGCATTACTAACTTTTTCATGTGCAAATCATGCATTACTGATCGGTGTATATACATATCATGCATTACTGACTTTTTCATGTGCAAATCATGCATTACTGATCGGTGTATATACATATCATGCATTACTGACTTGTATATACAAGTCATGCATTACTAACTTTTTCATGTGCAAATCATGCATTACTGATCGGTGTATACACATATCATGCATTACTGACTGTTGTATTAACAAGTCATGCATTACTGACTGTTGTATAAACGTCATGCATCATTGTAAACCAATAGTGAGTGTTTTCTGCACTTTTCATTGGTCGAGAAACCTCGTGGAATATAGTTCGGCTCCCTGAATTACAAAAGCCGAATAACAGCCCAATGATACGTAAGAATATGCACAACTTTCATTTGCATAATGGAGGCTAAATCTATTTTGTGTGATCCAGATTTTTTTCTTAGTTCCTTTGATGAAATTTTTGGAGATGATGCAATTTTGGAGGAGTTCATGAATGATGAAGGTAAGTATTTTATTTGTTTACCTAACCGAACCCTTATGCTGTTTACAGCAATGACTGAAGAGATATAAAATTTCAGTTGAGAAAACACATTAATACTAATATTGATATATATAGGACTGTGTTGCTAAAAATTCTGAGAATTGACAAATAAATAAAATTTAAAAGTACTTACAATTGGTAAAAACAACAATTTTCACTTGGGAATAGGTTTCGACTTTCTCCAACTCGGCTAACGCTGTCAAAATCACGGACCCGGGCCTGTCCTAGACTTGCAAAGGTCAAGGATGATGACTTACAACAAATCATTGATGGGTCTTTATCAGAGGCGACCAACAGAAATACAGTCTGGGGTGTTAAACTGTTCCGTGGTGCGTCCCTACGACACTTTGTAAATAAAGAGAAAGAAATTGATAGTTACCTCCCCTGAATAGTTTAGACTGGCGAAACGTCTTTCTCAAAATGTTTTTATCCACCATAAATGAATGAAGCATACACATCAACATTCTGCATTGACGGAACAATGCGAATATACATACATTTTAACGATAGCTTAATGCAATAGCGTGTTAATGATTACGTAAATATTTCAGCCGAATCTTTAATACACACCTGGAATTAAGCCATACTGTAATGTAGGATGGATAAAAATCTATGATTTTCTAACAAATTTCTTACCTTATTATCTTACCTTCTCTTTATTTGCAGAGTGGCTTCAAGACAGTGGGTATCCTTCCGACTTTGAGAATTTTGATGTTCAAGCACTGAACACCTATCTTCGTTCATTCTACGCTGAAGTGAGGAATGGTCTTGGCGAACTGTATTCAAAGTCTACCTTCGTCGGCTTGCAGGCGGCCATCAATCGTAGCACTTCTTGTGTCGTTTCACGTGTCTGGGGCGACAGCGAACAAGAGTTTCAAACCGCATTACCACACACGATTTCACTACATCAAAGACTGCCTTGAGAAAACGCTTCTCACTAAAAATTAGGTTACAATATTCATAAATAGTGGTTTGTTCAATTTCCAGGATTCATTGGAATTCAGCATAGGCACGCAAATTTAGGCTGACGCCGTCGGTTTTAAACTAAATTTGCCTATATTAAATTTTAATGAATCCCGGAAATTGAACAATCTTCTACCTGACTGCTGTATGCACAAATCCTGCATTACCTATATTTGTTTACTTATTACCTGTGTGTATACAAGTTATCTATTTCTGGTCTGTGATGAGGATAAACGTCAGTGCAACAGATGTTTGAGATTCTTATAATAAAATTATGTACGTACAACATGAAATATTTTCATTCATAAAAGTTTTTCATGTAATGAAATTGGCAAACTGCCATTTTCCGTGTAATATGAATACAAGTAATGGGCTTTACTGACCAGTGGATGAACACGTTGTGCGTAGAGTTTTCACAGAAACTATTGAGAAAAACATTTTGGGAAATTCAGAAGTCACCCCCTCTTGTCATACACGCTTGCCACTGTTAATGACAGATAGCGAATTGGAACAATAATTATACATCATCTGGGATAGAAGATGATCAGCTTCAGATGGCTACAGAAGTAGGACTGCACGATATTACACCAGTATATCGCAATACGATACGATACGTATTGCGATGATATTTTTCTAAGAAACGGTATGTTGGGTAATAAAAGTGTTTGAAGTTTTGTGATCATCTCTGTTTTTTGTACCGCCTCCGTGGTGTAGTGGTTAGAGCGTCAAACCAAAATACGTTAAAATATGGTCTCTGCCTGGCGCTCGGCATTAATGGGTACAACAAGGACTGGTCGGCTCGGAGTCAGTATACTGTGTCTGAGTGGGGTATTCATGCTTCACTGCGGCATGGTATCTCAGTGAGCTAGCACTATAAAACCAGCTTAAGTCTGGGCTAGTACAAGCAGCCGCACATACACATACATACGCATGCACGTCGTCATATGAGCGAAATCTTCTCAAGCACGACGTTAAACCCAATTTCACCTCACCTCACCTATGTTTTTTGTGAAAGTTTACACAGATCTTTATTCACACTGAAGTATTCCATTGTAATTGACAATTCAGCATACTTTACATATAAAATAAATATAAAAAAAGAAAATACATTCAAAATCAAATATAAATTTAATATTTCTGTTATCACAATCATAACATATATTTTTGGGACTTTAGTTAGCCGAAAATAGACTCTGCGTGTGCAATCAATGCCAATCACTGTCAAACACTGAAGCTCCAATATATCGCAAAACATATCGGAATACTGGTACCAGAATCGCAATACATTGCAATACAGCATATTTGCCAAACACAGCCCTATACAGAAGGTTTTTCTGTACTAGTAATGTATTACTGGACGGTGGTTATAACCATCATGCGTGACTGTCTGGTGTAAGTAATGTTCTACTTATCTGATCATAGTATATAACACGTCACAATTTAATTATGTAAACCCATAAGTGCAGAAACTCACCGCACTTTGGCCAGTTTGTGACAAAGGATTTGATAAAATTCAACAAGCAGTTATGAATATATGCTATATATGCGAAAACTAATAAATTCAACTACTTACCCCATGGGATGGCCCACAATACAATTCATATATTGTTAGGTGTTTGTACAGGTTATCTAGTACTGATCAGTGCATGAACAAATCATTTGGTACTAATTGGTGTATATACAATCTGTATGTTACCAATCATTGTTGAATGACACGTCATACCGTCTTGGTGATAGTTTACTGAAAACTTAACTCTCTTAAAATTGAAAAGAAGAATCGGTTTCATGGGTCTTCTTCTCTTCCTAATCCTGAAATATCAGTATAATTTACACATCATGTTCTTAGCTCCCAAGCCACAACGATGTAAGAGATGTATATAGATAATATCAATCGTGGACGCCTCATAGCCCATGTTAAGGAGACCAAAACAGACTACGCGCCACTCTAGTCTTCTCTGAAAGCACTGGTCACTTAGCCAACGATTATGATTTGAATATCGGAGTTTGTCTAATCCATGGTTACTTTACTCGCAGAATTAACACATTCTAACGCAGCCGCATGTATTTTAGAGTGATTTTAGTAACATATGATTTATTGAATTTATATGAGCTGGAACATGTAAATTTTTGGTAACATCCAACAGACTAAATACCTAGAAACACCAAAAACAGATGAAATTCCTGGAAACGTCCAACAGATTAAATTCCTAGAAAAAATGCAACCGATGAAGAAGCTTTGACTGATAAGATCCTTTAGCAAGGTCATTGTTAAAAACAAATTGAGCGTTTGTATCTATTACCTACTTTATGAAAGCTTTGAGATTCATATGAAGAAAAGCCATATTACAATACTGGAACACTGGAATCACTATTACGTAATATGAAATATATCATAAATCATGATCATAGACATTTACATGTAGTTCTTTTAACGAGCTCATTTGCGTAGGCTTCGGTTAAACATGTAAAACATGTAAAACCTGAAGTAATTAACTAATTTATTTAATGTAAGAGATATCATGTGACATCAAAAAGAAACTTATGAACGAAGCATTATAGAACTTCAACCTGACGAAAGGGGGCGGTGGAGTGGCCTAGTGGTTTCAGCGTTCACCCGTCACGCATATGTTAGATTCCCCAGAAGGATATACTGTTTGAAGCCCGTTTCTGGTGTGTTGCTGGCTTATTGCTAAAGTGTCGTAAAAACCTTTCCACTCACTCACTTGATGAAAAACATGCTCACAAGTGAATCTAATGTGTTTTCAAATACCGCCATCTGAACATATTTCTACGTCACCAGCCTGGTATTTATACATATGGCTACCGTTCACAACGATCAGGGTCGGTGGGGTAGCCTAGTGGTTAAAGCGTTGGCTTGTCACGCCGAAGGCCCGGGTTCGAATCCCCACATGAGTACAATGTGTGAAGCCCATTTCTGGTGTCCCCCACCGTGATGTTGCTGGAATATTGCTAAAAGCGGTGTAAAACCCAACTCAGTCAGTCAGTCAGTCACATCGATCAATTGCACTCAGTTGATATGTTTGTTTCTTAAATCAGCTACATGGGGAAATAACACGTCATGGCCTTTTTTTAGGCCTTCTTCAGGGTGTGTGGCCACAATGAGGCGAATTTGCCAGGTCCGTGCTCAAGGTGGATACACACTTCACTGACTGCGTGAACGCCCAATGTGCCCGTATGTCATCTACATAAAAGTTCAATACTTTACCCTCAGACACTGCCCTATCTGATTCATTTTGATTTTGTGTATAAGTAAAGTTTTTATGATACTATTAATCACAGTTTCTAAGCATGTGTGCAAGTGAACCTGTCCATTTCTTCATTTTTTGTTCCAGACCTGACGTACACTTGTGAAGTATAGTGAAGACAGCTTCACCCTGTGCAGTGCAAATTACGATTGCGATAAGAAGATAGAGGCAGTGCAAGGGAACACAATGGAGGACGTTGAGAGTAAGTTTGGACGGATAAATGAATATATTGAGGACGGTGAAGAAGATCTCCTGTTTGAATATATAAGAGATACGGGCATCAAAGCATGTGACTATAATGAAGATCTACATGAGACCTATCCGTTAGATTACGCTGCCTCAATGGGAAACGTGAGCGTATTTAAGTATCTTGTGAACACAGGTTACTCAATCGAAGGAGAGGTAATCCATCCAATTTACGAAGCATGCTCGAAGGGGCACCTGGAACTGTTGAAAACCCTTGTTGAAACCTACAACATTGATCCGTCAAAGCCAGATCCATATGGCTCAACCCCATTGTCAATTGCAGAATCCGAAGGCCATTTGGATTTGGTGAAATATTTGGTTAGTAAAGGAGTTTCAATACACGCGACATTCTCGGATGGTGAGTTTGAGGACGCCACACCACTCCACCACGCAGCAGTGGCAAATGCGACAGATATTTGTCAGTATTATATATCTCTCGGCGCCGATTTGGAAGCTAAAGATAAGCAGGGGGCCACACCATTGTACATGGCAGCCGCCTCGAACACCGAGGAAACGTGTCCGGTACTAATTGATGCTGGAGCATGTGTGGAGGCCAAAAACTGTGATGGGCAGACACCTTTCTTTGCAGGAGTCAAAGCGTTAGCTACACGACCATGGGAAGACGTTTTGAGCGTCCTTCGACTGCTTTACTCCAAAGGTGCAGACCCCGAGGCTAAAAACAATGAAGGGAAAACACCTCTGTACCATGCCATGTCGTCCTACAGTCTCGCTTATTACCTAATGATAGAGCTGAATATATCGCCAGGAGGAGATAATCCCGACGTTAGGACTCTTTTTAATCTGGCCACAAAAGCAAAGAATCTCGATGTTTTGAATCTTCTTGTTAGTCTTGGGTACAATCCAGGATTGATTGAGTGCCTTGATGACCACGAACATCCCCTGCATCAAACAAGCAAAGGGAAAGAAGTAATGCTGAGATTGAGGGAGATTGCAAGCAATCCAAGGACTCTTCAAGAACTCAGCTGTTTTGTTGTCAGAGCACAACTCGGGAAGGACGTGGCAACAGATGTTAAATCTCTTCCTGTAGCAGAGAGTGTTAAAGGATTTGTGAGGCTTTCCCATATACCTTCTACAGTTGACTATGATTTTGATGCCCAAATGGATGATGACGACATTTCAGGCGCCGAGGAAGAAGGAGAGGAAGTGGAAGTGGATGACGAGGATGACGAACTGGAAAACGGTTCTCAAGAAGACGAAGAGGATGGCGAGGAAGATGATGATACCCATGATCAAGATGATTCTAATTAGCGGAAGGAAGGAGAGGACGAGGATGAAATACTTGGGCACAATGACGAAAACGATGACGAGGAACTATCCAACAATGCGTATTATGAAAAACGTAACAGTAGCAAGGTATAACATTACCAATGGCCACACGTCTTGGTGCGTAATGGAATGAACCTGTAAGAGCTCTAACTACCTTTCTGACATTTTCTAAGAATGCCTGTCTGGCTTTAAGATGTCAGTAACACCAGCTCCAACACCTGTATTTCGGATGAAGACCATTTGATCAAAATCATCCTAAGTATAAGAACACGAGTGCATTACTCCATGAACGTGAATTGAAAACCTAAGCTTAAGACGTAAATGATGATGTTCGAAACAGTTGAAGGCTTTTAGTCTCAACACCTACGTGTCTGTCATAAGCGTTTGAATCATTCGTGATTTGAGTCGTAAGTCATTTAGGCAGTGCATTCATTCATCATAATGGTTCCTAATATCCGAATGACAATAGTTTCATTCTGGAAACAAGGATTGAGCAAAGGATGTGTGACTTTCTGTGAGACTTTCGTAGTGAAAGAGATGTTATTATCTACCTTAAGTCAGCATTAATGGGTCAGAGAATACTGGTGCTTTCAACAAACGGCGACGGGACATATGCAGTCTATGTTTGTTTTTCCTTGTGTCTTAAGTATTTGTCGGTGGTACAAGTATGTCATTTATTCACCATGAATACAGATGGTTGGGAGGAATAAATATTTGAAAGAAACAGGATACAAACAATGTTCAGTGGTATGTATAGCTAACTCTTTTACTGATGAGCGATATGGCTGAAATATTGCCGATGTGACGTTAAATAATAACTCACTCACTCACTCACTGATGAACTAAAATAGTTATTCTTCCGTTTTGTCAAAACTGACAAATGATATAAGTTCTAGGAATTAAAACTTACGCCTTAATTCGTCATATATGTATGTATGTATGTATGTATGTATGTGTGTGTGTGTGTGTGTGTGTGTGTGTGTGTGTGTGTGTGTGTGCGTTATCTGTGTAACAAGGCGTTATAAAAGATTATCCTTAGTCTTAGCAATAGTTATACAATACTCATCCTATTTAGATTAGAAATGTACATCGGAAACTTCACCATTCTCTTTTCTACGCCTTGTGATCAACCTTGACAATGAATGTAGTAAGTCCTTAAAGAGGATGACCTATAGACGTTGGATATATATTTATCATCATAATGAAGTTCCTGATGCAAATTCAAATGAATCGTAACAAGCATACTGTTAAAACGGACCCTTTGAATTGTCGAATTACTCTAGAAATCTAGTAATCTAGTAATTACTGTAGTAATCCATAGGATGGTTTTGGCAGTAATGACTTTCTCCTTTGTATATTGATATTCACGTGTCTTGAAATAAAATCCAAAGTATCTCGTTTTTCATAGTTTGGTTCATCTTTCAAAATAACGCTGATATTGAGTATATATTCATTAGCATCTTTGGGCAAAGACCAGAAGGGGTAGTTTATTTTAGGTACTAATACTGATTATATTGTACTTATTGAATTCTGAGTCTTTGAATCAGCAGAATATTTACTTCTTTTTTCTCAAGATAATTTATCCGTGTAGATCCGGGTTAGAATTGATCTTCTAGAACCCATGCTTGTCGTAAGAGGCGACTAACGGGATCGGGTGGTCGGGATCGCTCACTGTTGTATCCAAATTGCGTAGATCGATGCTCATTCTGCTGATCACTGGATTGTCTGGTACAGGCTCGATTATCAGACTACCGCCATGCAATAGCTGGAATATTGCTGAGTGCGGCGTAAAACTTAACTCACTCAAGATAATTCTTCTTTATTATACATTCTGGTCAATATCAAACATAATCTTGTTTAAAAGCATTAACAATTCCATTCTTTATTAAGTTTGTGTCTTGATTCTGTTTGGAAAGTAATCATAATAGTCCCGAAATCGTGCCGAACTTAACACAGCATACAACTGTAGAGGCATGTTTCTGTGCCATCGGGGATATGTGTGGTTGTTATCTGCAGCCTGTGGCAAATTATTTTCAACGTGATCAACATTTATTTATCTCATTGTTTAGGGTTTCTTATCATCAAAACCAACATCTATGATATCTATGACAATGAACCCAATGACCATGTGAAACGGGTAGCAAAGTGCTGTTACACTTTATTTAATATAATCAGAAAAGGCTTAAATAATAATCTGACGTTGAGAACATGTTTTCAGTTAAAGGCCATTTCAAAGTGTATTAAAACAGGTTAAGAATCTGAAGTGTCTCTCTTTGTTTCATAAACTAGAAAAAGATAAATCTTGTTAAATCAGCCACATGTTGAGATCTGCATTGGTAATGCCAAGGTTGCAATACATATATCCCCAAGCACCAGGTGTAAATGAAGGTATCCAAGTTATATGATTCGTGGAGAAAGCGCATGGAATACGCATACGTTAATGTGTTATTCTTTCATTAAAACTTTGACAATGATAAATTTTGTGAATAAAAGCATAATGGTAAGAAATATGTGTTAAATGCAGATTGAGTGAGGTCGGTTAAATGCCGCTGTGATGTTAAATACAGAATGTGTGGGTTGGGTTTAATGTAGGGGTAACGGTGTTCTTTAGGGCATTATCATTTGCAGAAGCCCCAGGTCTTCAATTAACTTCCCGACGAAGGAGTTATCATTTCTGATAACTAGAGGGAGGTTTCATGATAATTCCATCAATTTTAGCTATAATGCCGCTGTGATGCCAAATGCAGAGTAAGTGGGTTGGGTTTAATGCAGCTGTGGTGCCAAATGTAAGATATCCAGAAAGTGTGTGTATCCCGTCTACGCTGTGCAACACATCACAAACACATGATAAGGCAGGCCAATTCTTCAGCTTAACAAAACCTGTAAAATTCAAATTTGACCGTGCATACTTTTGGTCACTGAAGTGTGAAATCTTGAAATGTCCTCGACATATCCATCATAAATTGTTGACTGGGGCCTTGAATGCTGGGAACAACGTTTGAGCAAGGGATGGTTGACATTCTGTGAAATCATGTTCGTTTGTACCTCAGCAGTTGTCAACAACGTCTGAAACTAAGAGGTAAGAGATCATTGGGGCATACAGTGATTTTGCTCATTGCATGGACATAGCTGGATTTACACCATCCCCATGTCAGCAACTTTTGCATTATTCAGCCGTGCATTATAATAACATGTTCTATGATTAAAAATACTTCAGGCTTAAATTTACATGTGAAGGACAAGGTCTTGCATATCCGTTCAGGAGGACAATAATTTTACAATTCTTTAAGCCCCTTGGAGGATACTGCCACTAAAAAAACAATCGCAGTTGCTTATATACACTATCAGTTAGCAAGTTATAGTTATCGATTTGAAAAACATACCAATCAAAATGTTTCTATTTTAAAGAGTTCTAGTTCTGTTACAAAATCAATATATAAATGAAATCTAACATTCTTAGAAGATTTGAAAGATGTGATGAGCAAGTGAGTAACATGGAATTCTCTACAACAGCTGATCGTCTCCATCATAGAATAAAACCTTCCAGAAATTATTAAGACTATATAAGTGGGGAAAGCACACACTTATCATTTCTATCTACAACAGCTGATCGTCTCCATCATAGGATCGAACCTTCCACAAATTATTAAGGCCATATAAGTAGGGAAAGCACACACATATCATTTCTATCTACAACAGCTGATTGTCTCCATCATAGAATAGAACCTTCCAGAAGTTATTAAGACCATATAAGTAGGGAAAGCACACACTTATCATTTCTATCTACAACAGCTGATTGTCTCCATCATAGAATAGAACCTTCCAGAAATTATTAAGACCATATAAGTAGGGAAAGCACACACTTATCATTTCTATCTACAACAGCTGATTGTCTCCATCATAGAATAAAACCTTCCAGAAATTATTAAGACCATATAAGTAGGGAAAGCACACACTTATCATTTCTATCTACAACAGCTGATTGTCTCCATCATAGAATAGAACCTTCCAGAAGTTATTAAGACCATATAAGTAGGGAAGGCACTCACTTATCATTTCTATCTACAACAGCTGATTGTCTCCATCATAGAATAGAACCTTCCAGAAGTTATTAAGACCATATAAGTAGGGAAAGCACACACTTATCATTTCTATCTACAACAGCTGATCGTCTCCATCATAGGATAGAACCTTCCAGAAGTTATTAAGACCATATAGGTAGGGAAAGCACACACTTATCATTTCTATCTACAACAACCCGTGATGGTCGGGATGTCAAGCTCGCTGACTTGGTTGACACATGTCATCGGTTCCCAATTGCACAGATCGATGCTCATGCTGTTGATCACTGGATTGTCTGGTCCAGACTCGATTATTTACAGACCGCTGTCATATAGCTGGAATATTGCTGAGTGCGGCGTAAAACTGAACTCACTCACTCAAAATTGACGTATCTACATCAAACGGCTTGGAAAGTCGTTTAAAAGAATGTAGATGACTACATTGTATGTGCTGTATTGATTTTAATGATTTTCATGAAAAGGAACTGAGCTTCGGTCTTTGTTGTTGAGGAAAATGAAGCATACAACTTTATGGATGACAACGTCTTGTTTATTTCATAGAGCGACGTTCCTGCGTAGATTCTTTCACGGTTATCAAGCTAAAAGTGATTGAAATCAAGTGACGAGGAGCATATATACATAATATATTATGACAAACATCAGATAAACATTAACAACATGTCGTAAATAACAACATTATTGGATGTGGCCATTATTTGTTGTAAAGGTTTTAATGGGATGAACAGTATATTAGAATACTGGAAATAGTATTCTCTACAAGTACTGGAAGTAATGGTGAGATGAATGTTTCAAAGAACAATCGTCTTTTCGTCTGCACATATAGCTTTAGCAATTTAATTGACACATGCACAATGATGATTGGTTATATACTGTATGGCGATTGATCCACTTACGAATACCTTTGGGTACAAAGTCGCAATAACATCCAAAGCAATTACACTGCAGTTTTTAGCCCTTGAAATTAATCTAAATTTAGCTATGATATGGCTGCAAATTATTTTCTTTCCGAGTCTTCATTGTGCAAAGGTATTTTACAAGACACAGATTACATGTACCAAAGGGGAGGAAAGAGTAACATTTACACTGGCATAAACATACTTTCATTATAAAAATCGGCGTACTTTCTATTTATGTCATTTTCGTTTTCAACTACATACACCTCAATGTAGGTTTGTGATAGACGTGTTTAAGAGTATTATGTTTATGAAAAGTCAAATTTGTGGGATTTCTTTGTTAGTGTCGTCGGTGAAAATTTCCTTTTGGGCAGACAGCACTATACTAACTGAAGTAAAACTTCACATCATTATTTTCTCCGCTATGAAATTGCGAAACAATGTATGATGTAATGGTATGTATTCAGTGGCCCTTTATGGTGTAGTGGTTTGTAAATATTCTTCCTATATATAATGTGGTGGTTAGTGTTCTGTGGTTGTGTGTTTGCTGTAGTAGTATTCTAAATAGGATTTTCCAAATCAAATCGTCGAATATATTACTCCAGTAATCCATGGAACGATTGCGGCAGTAATGCTTTAGAATAAAAACAGTATCTCGTTTTACATTGTTCGTTGGACCTTTTCAAAGAACGTTAAATGACTAAGTAGCCATTAGTATCTTTGGGTAATTACCAGAAAGGTAGGTTTATTTCAGATACCAATACTGATAATATTGTTTTCTTCTTGAAATATACCTCTTCTAAGAGGTGTGAGTGTTCAAATCTTCTTTTCAATTCAATTATTAATTCTGATCATTATCAAAACGTGAATCTTTTAATACCATTAAAAATGCGACTCTTCATAATGTCTGATATTCATTTTCTTCGGAAACTATCCAGAATAGTTTCGATATCGTGAGAATACTGCAGGAACATTACACAGCATACCGTTGTACAGACATGTCTCTGTGACATCTGGCATTCGTGAACCAAAACGACGTTAAAATATGGTACTGGTTGGTCCCTGTCTGGCGCTCGGCATTAATGGGTACAACAAGGACTGGTCGGCTCGGAGTCAGTATAATGTGTCTGAGTGGGGTATTCATGCTTCACTGCGGCATGGTATCTCAGTGGGCTAGCACTATAAAACCAGCCTAAGTCTGGGCTAGTACAAGCAGCCGTACATACACATACACACGCATGCACGTCGTCATATGAGCGAAATCTTCTCAAGCACGACGTTAAACCCAATTTCACCTCACCTCACCTTGCATTCGTGTGGTTGTTATCTGTAGAATGTGGCAAAATATATTCATTTTGATCAACATTTATTCATCTCACTGTTGAAGGTTTCTTCTGATCGATACTCGTGCAGCCGCAATAGAGC